TGCAGCCCCGAGGCTCCGAGGGCCGCACTGGGAAGGGGGGCCGCCAGGGTCTCCTACCTTGATGGGGGAGAGGTGGGCGTGGCCCACGACCCCGTGGACAGCCTCGAGGTGGGACAAGTTCCTCTCCGCCACGTGCACCAGCTCGGGGGCGTTTACCTGGTTGGGGAGGTGGGCCGGGCTGTGCTCCAGAGGGGGCGTGTCTTCATCTTGGTAGCGGTATTTCTGGGGATGGGGACAGAGGCGTCACTGGGGCCAGCCCAGTGCCTCAGGCTCCAGGCTGCCCGCCCGCCTCCTCTTCCCCAGCCGGCGCGGTGCGGAAGGCCCTGGGGCCTGACCAGCTCCTCCCCCTCCCTCTCCTCCAGCCCATTGGCTCCCCTCTCTCCACCCTCCCGACAGCCCCCTCTCTGGCCAGGGCCTCAGCACCTCTTATTCCTCCCCAAGTCCCAGTCAGGTTCCCCAACTCTTCTGGCATCCTGGGACCCTGGCCTTCTGCCCAGTGTACCCCCTCCTTTGGCCTCTCTCTCCCCTTTCCTAGGCCGTCCTCTTCAGGCCACGCCATCCTTTCAGATGGCCCCTGACACTTGTTCCCCCTTCCTCTACACCCCAGCCCTAATGTCTTTGCTTCCCTCATCATCTCAATCTCACCCCCATGTTCTAGCCCCCCACGGTCCCCTCGCTGCTTCTGTTCTTTCCATCCCACCCCGCCGCACCGCACCTTCACCGCCTCACTCTCCCTTGCAGCCTCTACCCCACAAGTCGCAAGCTTTGGCTCTCCAGCACCTGGCAGGCCCGCGGCAGGAACTGAAGTCAGGCCCTTCAACTAGAAGGTACTTGTCACCAGCCCCCTAGGCAGGACAAGGCTAAACTGTCCAGCTTCTCCTTCACTGGTCTCTTGGGGTCCCAAGCAGTCTGCAAAGAAGACCCAGGAGTCTGGCCCCAGGCCTGCAAGAGCCCACAGCCCAGGCAGTTAATCGGATATACCAGCAAGGGAGGGCATGGGGGGGCAGGGGAGGGCAGAGCTAGGAGGGCTCTGGAGGGGGCAGAAATGAGTGCCAGGTGTCCAGATTGCGGGGGGTGGGGGGGTGGCAGTGTGCAGAGCCTCAGAGTAAATTCCTGATCTCCCTCTGGACTTTTGGGGTGAAAGGTCCAACATGACCCCTGACTCTGCCAATTAACCAGCTGCCATCTGAAGAGCTTCCAGTGCTAGCGTAATAGGGACACCAGCAAATGGGATTAACTGGGGCTGGAGAGCAAGGAACGGGGCAGATGGGACAGCAGCGAAGGACAGCAACTCTGCCTGGGTCGTCCACATCTGCCCATGCTCACCGGGGCCCAGGGAAGGAAGAGGAGGAGACCATGTGCAGGGCTCCCTGGGGGTTTGGAGAAGACAGAACACACTCCCCTGTACACATGGGTTGAAAGAGGAGACAGGAGCTCCTCCCCGAAGTTTCTGAGAAACTAAGAGTACCCCACATTGGGAGGGCAACGGTGGCAAAGTGTAATGGGAGGCAGCGTACCAAGGTCAATCCCGGACCCTGGAACGTGACTCTGAGAATTCTGAGGATGATGATCAAGGCTGAAGACTTAAGCCAACTCTGGCCTGTATTAAGGGTGCAGTCAGAGAAGGCGAAGAGGGAATGGTCCTGTCAACGCAGAGACTCACACCCAGGACAGACAAGAAGCCTGGAGAAGAACCTTGATACAGTTAAAGGGCTTTGAAGAAGGAAAACGGGGGCTCATCAAGACGGAGACTTTTCTCTGGGCCTCAGACTGAAGACTTAAGCCAACTCTGGCCTGGATTAAGGGTTGCAGTCAGAGAAGGCGAAGAGGGAATGGTCCTGTCAACGCAGAGACACACCCAGGACAAACAAGAAGCCTGGAGAAGAACCTTGATACAGTTAAAGGGCTTTGAAGAAGGAAAACGGGGGCTCATCAAGACGGAGACTTTTCTCTGGGCCTCAGACCTGGAGAGATTCTGGAAATCCAAGTTCCAATACCATGGCACAAAAAGTAGAGGCGAAAGTAGGGGAAGTAGAGGCAAGACAGCCCTTATCAAAGGTCGAGCTGTCTCGGATAAGTGAGTTCTATGATCTGAAAGGGGCTGTCCATGCCACACCCCAACAGCGCACAAGCTGAGGGACAATGCCCCAGAATAGGGGGTCCAGGGGGAAGGGGAGGAAACAGCCCTCTTCTCTTATTTCATGGGCCCCCATTCCCTGCAAAATAATTAAGACAGGCCAAAGCTTGCAGCTCTAAGTTTTTGAGTCTGGGGAGGGTTTGAACCCAACACCCTTCCATCTTCACTCCATCTCACAGAAAATTCCTGAATCTGATGAAGAAACGTCAGGGCGCAGCAAAGAAAATGAACATGGGAAGAGGGACATTTCATCGTTTATTTTAGAGACAATCAAGGTGAACTTTTATCACAGTGAGACCCCACACACCTCTCCCTGCTCCACTCTCAAGGGGGGAGTGGTGTCTGGCATGGAGCAAAAGGTACCTCAGGATTAGGGGACAAGGAGGGAAACAGGCAACAAGAAACAGGACCCAAAGTTCCCAGGATGTGGCTGGAGGAGGTTAGGGACTATGACCAGTCCCTGAAAATTTTCCACAGACAGACGTGTAGAGAGGGGAAAAAAACGGAAAAACTGGTCTGGAGGGGTGGGGGGTAGGGAGAGTAATTCTGAAATTGCAAACTGGGGGGTGGGGGGTGTGTCAGCATCTTTGGGTCTGGACTACAGGGCAACTAAAGCAAGACAGGAAGGGAAGCACCCCCCCTTTCCCTATTAGGACTCAGGGCCCTGCCCCACCGGCGACAGCTGGGGCGCTATAGGGACAAGTCTGCACCCCCCAATATATTAGGGCTTAAGTAAAAGGCCTGGGGAGAGGGGCACAAACAGGGTCGCTGTTATTCCTTCCCTTTTGGCCCCCTCCTCACAGGAACCCCAGATGCACAGAATGACCTGAAACCAAGGCTTGCACCCCCAAAATAGAGGGGTTGTAAGTTAAAGTGAATAATAAGAGGGGCGACCCACAGAGCTTGTCCGCAAGAAGTTGCAACCCAGAGACCCCGCACCAAGCAGAAGGAACAGCGACAGCACTTGAAGCTTGGACCCTGAGATTTGGGGGTCCGGGAAGAGGGGAGCGGGGCCGGAGCCCGTACCGCGGCACGTACCACGCAGAGACACATGGAGGCGAATCTGTTCCGAGCCGACATGGAGAAGGGGAGGGGGACTGAGGGAAGGCGGCCAGAGGGGGGGGGAGACGGCGCCTGCGCAGTACGGGAGAGCGTCACGATGGGAGAGAGGGGTGAGGGGAGACCCTCCTGGCCACCAACTTTCCTAGTTCCAGCTGTTTCTCTGTGGACTTTTTCCGTAGTATATTCGTATGCCAACCCGTCTACAATCAGAGACACTCCTAAAATTTAACAATTCGTCTCTTTGATTCTCAGGGTCCCCTTATTCCACCTTATTCCTCACCTCCAAAATCTCCAGGCCCCTAACAATTCCGAAACCTCACTGAATGGGGCCTCCAGGGTCCATGGACGCAAGCAGCACCTCCTCCTCACAAGAACCCCCAAGGGATGTAAACTGCCAGGGTCCCCACCCCAAGGATTGCCAGCATCCCCTCAAATTCCAAGACACCTCCTATTCTTACCTTTAGCCTCCCTCCTACAGGCCCAGCCCCATAGTATGGTAGGACAAGGATTCTTCAAGAGCTTAAAGGGCCACAGGTCCTTGTTATGTCCCCAAATTAATATATCCCTTCACTAGTCCCTTTTCCAAAGCCTGTCTATCCCCAGTCCTCCTAACAGAGGCCTTGAAATTAGTATTCCTCTAAAAACACCCATCTAAATAGTCTTCACATGTTTGGAGTCCCCTGTCCAAATCTCAGAATCTAATGACATTCTCATGATTTTCTAAAATACTAGTTCTCTGGGGGACCAGCAGTTAGCGTAATGGCTATGTGGCTGGACTCCCACGTAGTCGACTGCGGTTGGAGTCCTGGACTCGGTGGCTTAAACTCACACCAGGCGCGTGTGCGTACGTGCCCCAGAACCTGAGAGGAGAATGGAGGAGAAGGGATTGCGGAGTGGTCATCCCCCCTGGGGGGTGATTTCTTTCTATCTCTCTGTCTCTCTCTGTCTTTCTGGTAAGCGCACGCACCCTATAGCCAAAACCTCTCCAAAAAAATTAAAAATAAAATACTAGTCCTCAAAACCACACCAGAGGGGGCCAGAAGGTGGCGTGGTGGTTAAAGGCGCTGCATTCCCACATGGCCAACTGTGATTCAAGTCCCAGACCTGATGGCTTGCTTGCTTGCTTTCCCTTTTTCTCTCTCTGTCTCTGGTCAAATTAAAAATAACAACAAATGGAATTAAATAAATAAGTGAATAATTCTTTTTTTAAAAAAGGTTTTTGCTATAGGGTGCATATGCTCACCAGAAAGACAGAGAGAGACAGAGAGACAGAAAGTGAGAAATCATCCCCGCAGGAGGGATGGCCACGCCGCAATCCCTTCTCCTCTATTCTCTCCCCGGGATCTTGGGCACGCACACACACACCAGCATGAACCAATCATTGGTGTGGGTGGAGCTCTCCCGTTGCCTAGAAACCCAACTGCCCCTCAGGGAGAACAGTTGGTCACATGATTTCTGAGAAACAATTTGCTCAGTGAGGAAGTGAAGCCTAATGGTTTCCAAGATGATGGATAGCTCAAGATGGCGGATAGCTCAAGATGGCTTTCATATGCAGTGCCCTCCACACAGGGGACCAGCAGGTAGGGTGGTGGGCGCTGGACACTCCTGCATGGCTGACCACAGTTCAGTCCCACACCTGGTAGCTTGTTTTCTCACTTTCCCTCTCTCTCTCTGTGTGTTTGTGAGTGTGTGTGTGTGTGTGTGTCTCTTGTCAAATTAAAATAAATGAATGAATAAATCATTCTTTAAAATTTTTTTCCATCAATATTCATTAAGGATAGTGGCTTATCGTTATTTTTTGTTTGTACTATTTTTACTTGGTTTTACTCCAGAGTATTATAAAGCTTTATAATATAAATGGTGAAGTGTTCCCTTTTTTTAAAAAGTATTTGAATTTTTTAGACTAACTTTATTTATCCATTTATTAATTTTATTTTGACCAGAGAGGAATAGAGTGAAAGAGAAAGAGAGAGGGAGAAAACGAGAAAGCAAGCCACCAGGTCCAGGATTTCAACCATGGTCGGCCATGTGGGAGTCCAGCACCCTTAACCACCACGCCACCTACCAGCCCTTTCATTTATTTATTTATTTCATTTTTTATTTATTTATTTTTTGGGAGAGATTCACTATAGGGCGTGTGCGCTCGCCAGACAGACAGAGAGAGACATACAGACAGGAAGGGAGAAATCACG